ATTTTCCTGTCCATTCACGATAACATTGACAAAAACTATTATCATTTAAATATCTAATACATTGACCATGTATACATAATTGATCTAAACAATTTTCTTTTTTATCATGTGCACGTGGAATATCAAGTTGAATAGCAATACGATGTACAGGTAAAAATGAATATCTAAGTGGAATTAAAAAACTTCTTTGATATGTAAATGAAATTTTTTCATAAATATCAATATGAATGAAATAATTTTTTGTTTGATTTTTTGGTCCAGTTGAATAAAGTAAATAAATATTAAATTTAGTTTGACAATCTCGAATATAAAGATAAGTAAGTTGTTGATAGGAATGAATAATTCTTTCATTACTATCATCAATAAGTAAAATAATTAATGCAAATAGTGTTCGTCGAGAATCCGAAAATGTTTGAAATCGTAATGTGAGACTAACACGTTGATTTTGATATTGACACATACTACCATAGAAACTAGGTGGACAAAGACATGCGATAGTAGTCAAGTTTTTATCAATATTTAACCAAATTCGTAATGGAAGACCACGATGACAACGTTGCTCATACTGATGGATAATCATTTGTCTGGTGGATGATTGTAAGATCATTTCATTTGTATATTGTTGAATCATTTGGTTAGCTGAGTTCGTCAATTTACCAAGTGAGAAATATACTAATTGCGGTTTATTAGTATCGAGTTGGCGTGCACAAAAGAAGTTTTCAACTTCAGAACGAATATTTTCATACTTTTTATTACAAATAGTAGAGTGTATGGGAATATCTCGAGTGTTATCACAAAATTGTATATCAGTTCTATCTTGGCAATGACTTTTATAACATAAATGTAGGGGTTCAATACAAAGTTCGCCGCTGTGATTGATGCACTGAAAATTTTTGTCGCTAGGTTGATAATCATTTGATCGACATAATTTAGGTTCATCAGTACCACCAAGACAATCAATATTACCATCATTTGCTTTTTCAAGAGGTAAACACATAAATTGATTTGTATGAGGTGAAACACAAATATGATGATGTTGATATGGACAATTAAATGATAATGATGATGAATAACAATCAACTTCATCAGCTCCATTAAAACAATTCCAAAAACCATCACATCGTGTATAAGTATTATTACATATCCAATATTCACATTCTGTTTCATCTGTTTCATTTCGTCCGTTTATAGTAACAGGTATTAATTCTGTAAAACTATCACAAATAGTCGTAAATGATATATGTGTTCTAATATAATGAATGTTTAGATCTTCATCTTCACAAGCATTATATTGACCTAATCCACAATGACACCAACTATCTCCGACCAATGCTGAAGAAATACAGATATTTTTTATTGTACATTTGAAAAGATCATCTAATCTGTATAATAAACAAGAGCCATTGATTGGAGCGCACTCTTCATCGTCTTTGTAATTACAGTCTATGATTTGATCACAGAGTCGATGTTTTGAGATACACTTTGATGAGTTAATACATTTATACATAGTTAAATTGTTACAATTTACAGATTCATTATACTAAATTTTGTTGCATTGAGAAAGCTGTTGATATAGTGGTATGACATAAGTATAGAACCAATTACTTCTACTGTGCCCTAGCGAGTTAAACTTTAATGGAAAATCTACAGGACGACGACATGTGGCATTATTAAATGAAATTAATGGTTTGTTTGAATGGAATCCATCACAAAGTTGATCATTGTAGCATACATAACTGGGTGGTATTGATCGAGCAGGAGAATTAATCATATCTTTTTTAGTATAGATAAAGAATATATGACCAAAGGCAATTGTGCCTGCTGGCATCCGTAGCATATCTGGACAACTTTGATTAATTATTTCTGTACATATTCTATTGGAACAATGAATAAGACATCTTGGATCGGATCGATCGAGAATACGCAACTGGCATTTAGCTGCCATCCAGCAATCATCAGATACTCTATTTGGTGTATCATTGAACAATAACTTCTCGAGTATTTTATTGCGTTCGAAGAGACATGAACTCGTCCATTTCATATTGTCTAGGATATAGCGCTTGGGGCATGTGATATCTTCACTGGCAAATGTTGGTTCATTGCGAAACGTGAAAGCTAAAGGATTCTTCCACGTCATATCCTTCCAAATTTCATCTGTTCGATCAAGACATTCAAAAGTATTACCACCGTCATGCAAAAATATTTTGGATATACATTGTCCATTAGTACATTGAAATTCATTTGCTTCACACTCGTTAAATTGAAGTTGCCAACAAAATTCTTCATCAGTTCCATCTTGACAATCAATGATTCCATCGCAAATTTCAGTCCAATCAAGACATATCGATGAAGAACCTCGATTGCATTTTAAATGCGTATAACATGTCAAATTTATGGGATTATATTCATGTTGATAAAAATCATAAATAATTTCATATAATGTTGAATAATGAGATATGTAATTATCCAATGAATATTGACATAATGGACCAAATCTTGGTAATGTACAATTGTAGAACCATTGTGTTGTCATGA